GCAGCTGCGAATAAGACGAAGCCGCGGACAAACTTTTTTTTTTGCTCGGCCAGCCTAGCGCCAGTCTCGAGCGGTGGGACAGTTAACCGGCAATTTTGGCCGGGATGCAAAAGTTACGTTAAACCGGTTTATGTTAACCCGGGAGCAAATAACAACGTGGGAGCCTATCTTAGGTGTGGCAAAGCTAACGGATTACTTACTTGTTGCCGAGGTGCCCAAAGAAGGTACTGGAACCGAAAACACAACATTGGTTCATGTATTTATTAACATTCATACACACAGTCATACTTGTGCAAGGTGTCAGTGTTCGGTTGTGGGGTGTAATAGCCAGGGAAAAAGTTCTATGAACTGAAAAACCCGGCGCCTATTACTTCGCAACATGGTTGTGTATTCAACATGAACTGCAAGGAGTGCAGACGACATTGCCTGTGCTAACTTAACGTCTCACGGGCAGCGCCGCGCTCTGACACCTTGGTCCCAGAAGCGGCGGCGTTTCTGACCGCAAATCGCCGGAGAGCCGGTCGACGCCGTTGAGGGGACTGAGCAGGCCGCTGCCAGCTCCACCTTCACGTCCGCGCGGCGCAGCTCGGTGTGCGGCGGCGGCTCATCGCGCGGGCCGCACCCGTCCGTCCGCTGCACGAGCCGCTTTTCGATCCGACAGCGCAACACCGGCACGCCATTGTGCTGGCTGAGCGGCGGCAGCGGCACGTAGGCAACAAAACAGTAGAAATCGATGGGCCTGGATCGGCGTTGCCAGCAACGCCGGCAGCGGCGCGGCGGGAGGCGCCAGTGCCGCCGTCGGGGACGTGTGCCCTTCGCTGCGCTCATTCGAGTTGGCCGGCCGGCCGCGCGGCGTAGTCCTTTTGACACGGTGCGAGAAGAGCCGGATGAAGGTGGACTTTTTATTGGCGTTGCTGGTGCTCACGCCGCCGGCGTCCAGTTTGGGCGGCAAGTCCGAGTACCAGGAGTCGGACAAGTCCCGCGCGAACGCCGCCAGCCGGTCGTCGTCACTGCTGGCGGCGGCCCGCCGACGGCGCTGCCTCAGAATCGGACGAGTCGGTGGTACTGAGCACCTCGCGGGACGGGTAGCTGGGAGTGGGCCGGCCGCGGCCCCTGCCAGGCCGCGCCACCTTCACCGGCGCAGCCGCCTTCAAACTGCCCTTGCTGGGCGGCGGGTTGGTCGGCGGAGGCGGCAGCGGTGCCTCGACGTCAGTCCGAGTCGCTGTCACTGGGCGGCCGCCGCGGAGACGGCTTCTGTTTGACCCGCAGCCGGCCTGGGCCGGCTCGGCGCCCTCGGCCGGCGGCGCGCGCCGTTTCGAGCGTTTCACCTTTTCACTGTTACTCTCGCCTGGTCCTCAGCGTCGAGCGGCTCGGCGCTGTTCGGTTTCATGTGGCCCATGCTGCTGGGAAACTCGGGTGGGGACAGCTTTCTGACTGGAGTGCCGTCGAAGATGGAGGAGACGGGGGTGCTCGCAGAGTCCTTGCCCAATGCCCATGATAGAGCCGAGGCTCCACTGGACGCCCAGCTTAATCGGGCTATCGCCGCCCTCCTTCTATGGTGGATTCTTCGGCCCCCTTCAGCCACTAGGGCCATCATATACTCCCAGATGGCGGCACCTAGGGGATGAGGGGGGGGGTGTCTGGGCCACTTGTCCACCTCGTGGCGTCGCCAGCGACGCCTGCGAGTCGGAGCAAATGATTATGGGGTCTTCCTCGAAGGACGGGTGCTTCAGGAGATGTTGCTTTGCCGTTTTGGGCGCCACCATCTCAGATCGGTAAATGGAGCAAATCCTCCCCGCCGCCTCCCGCAGTACCAATGTTGTACTGTCTGGGTGCTCGGTGAGGACCCCAGCGCCGCCTTCCTATTACTCCCCCGGTCGCAGACCCGTCGACCCAGGCCCACGTCGCACGCTGGGGGAGCGCTCCCAGTCACGCCTCCGCAGCACTCCTCCTCGCTGTCGCGGACGCCCCGATCGGCAGCAGGTCCAGGTGGACCGTGACGCCGTCTGTTGGCGTCTACGGGGGCAGTCTCGTGGATAAGCGCGCCTCGGCGGGCAGCGCCACTCCAGTGGTCCCACACCGCTCCCCCGCGCTCTCTCCAGCCGGTCACTGACTTCAGTCACGGTTGGGGGGGGGGGCTTCCGCCACGACGCGGCGGGTCCTCCGACGGGAGGGAGAGCGCCTTCGCCAGTAGGCGCGATGCCAGCGCATCCCTCCTCATCTCTCCATCGGCACGACGCCCGCCTCGGCCCTCACGGCGAGTCTTGGAGCATGGAAATCGGGCAGCCAGTGATGACTCATGCCACCATCAGCATCTCCGCCTCCAGGACGCCAAGATGTGTGGCCGCAGCCGCAGGCAGCCACGCCGACCCCGCTGCCCGCATGCCCAAGTAGTCTCGAATCGCTGACACCTCTCCTGAAACAAGAGTGGTGTCGTAAACTTAAACCCCTTGCTGGAGCCCGCCAGCCGCGACAACACCGCCACACCAATTTTTGTGACCCCGGAACTTCCGTCCCGAGCCTTATTTCACGGCACGATGCTACAGTGCGCTACACGTATTGTGGTATTCAGCTTCCATGGAAACATCAACTAATTTGGACGCTCAAACATGGGAGTCAGGAGTGGTTAAGGCCCAGAGCGTTCTGTCTGGTTTATAAAACCTTGGCCAGCAGATGTAAACGTGCTTTTTGTATAAGTGGCTTAATTTTGACGCAAAAGGGCACTAACCTTCGGCGCAAATAATGCAGAAATTTCAGCGCAAATTGCAAAATAGCTTGCGCCGAACTTCGGCGCATGACGGCTTCACGGGCGTCCGGCGTACCATATGGATGTTTTCCAGTTTGGGCTGCAGGTTTTAGCTCTAGGTTTTAGACTGTAGGTTTTGGGTTGGGTTGGGCTGGGCTGGGCTGGGCTGGGCTGGGCTGGGCTGGGCTGGGCTGGGCTGGGTTGGGCTGGGCTGGGCTGGTTGGGGTGGTTGGGTTGGGTTGGATTAGGTTAGGTAAGTTTAGGTTAGTTTAGTTTAGGATAGATATGAATACCTATTTTTTGTAAGTTGAATTATTTTTTTCATTTTGTAGCATCATATGCCTTCCATCTTTGAACTGCCATATTCAAGCACCAGAATAAGTATGGACTTGAACCTTTTCCAGTCTGGATGCCTGTATGGAAGTTGTGCAAAATCATGCAGTTGAAGGTATTGTAACCACAAATAAGAGCTCATGACTCAAGTCTCAACTTGTCCATAATTGGTTATCTTGATGTATACTTGTAGACCCTTCCTCTTACTTGGCACACAGGCATGGTGTCACAGTGTTCTAAAATTGGATTTCAATTGGGTGTCCCAATAAAAAAAATATGAAGACAAAATGAGATAGATTTAGTCTTTCCGCAAAACTGCATAATGCCATTTTTACCTCAGATTTTGTCAGAACCTTCACAGGATCTGAAATGAAATGATGTAGAGTAGATGCATCAACTGTCAAGTCATGCGTAACCTGGCAGCTGGCTGTTGAATCAAACTTTTGACATATTTTTTAGCAAAGATGAAATAAAGCCACTTGTCATATTTTTAGGATGAAAACATTTTCCCCATCATGTGTGGTTATTCACCTAAAATTCTGAAACATGGAACACTGTCATACCAGCATTCCATCATGTCAACCAGCATTCCGCAGCATGTTAGCAGAAGCAGCAGCATGTTATAAGTATATGAAAGATCCAAATAGGTTGTAGGTTGGTAGGTATTGGTACTAAGTTTAACTTAATAGGTTAGTAGGCAAGGTTAGGATTAATTTTAGTTGAGCATCAAGATAACCATTACGAACAAGTAACAAAATCCTTACCTACCCTTGAAAGCATTGCTTCAATCACATCATCACGAAGAACCAGACAAAATTTTTGCACATTCTTACACTATTTGACATCCTGAATCCAGATATGATGCTTTCATGTGGCGCAAATACAAGAAAAACGAATAATCAAACCCGTGCGTATTCGTATCAACGGCGCCACAATTGTAGATCAGACCTTTTCTGAACAAATGCCACCACAATTTTAATTGATAAGGGATTAAAATGGCATGAGCATCAACATCTTGATTTTTTCTAAAAGATAGCGATAACTGATAACTAATAACTTACCATTCATTTTGAAATCACGGCGGTAGGTACACCAACACATGGCACTGAAAACAGCAAAAGACGGAATGGCGGAATGTCGTATGGAGCCCTAAAACGCAGCTCGAATTGAGCCCGAAAAGGAAGACGAACTGATGCCGCTTTCGGGGCTAATGTACTTTGAGCCCGAAAAGGGCGCCTAACTGATCCCGATTTTAAAATCATACAGATTTGAGCCCTGTTTTGGCACTCATATGAGCCCTTATTCAAAAATGTTCTCAAAGTGTTTTCTGAGTGCAGCGGCGCCACCCTCAGCAGTCTCAGCTGAGCAGTCCAAACAGACTGCCGGCGCTGAGCGCCACCCTCAGCACTCAGCAGTCTCAGCAGCGGTCTTAGCAGCAACCCAAATTGACTGCCAGTGGCCTGAGCGTCGACTCGGCGGCTGTAGACTCAGGGGCTGTCGACTCGGCTGCTGTCGACTCAGGGGCTGTCGACTCGGCGGCTGTCGACTCGGCTGCTGTCGACTCAGGGGCTGTCAACTCGGCGGCTGTCGACTCGGCTGCTGTCGACTCGGGGGCTGTCGACTCGGCGCTACCCAGTGGCAGTTGCTGCTGCCGCGGTCGCCCCAGCTGGTGGGTTCGCGGGGGCTCGTCCTCATGGCCCATTGAACAGTGAGCACTCTGCCTGGCTGGGAGGGTCAACAGCCAACTGACCTCGTCTGCGGTGCGCCTGTTCAAACGCTCTTGACATTGGTTTGGCGTGGGCGGGCCAAACACTGGGCCAGCGGCTGGGAGCGGCGCGACTCGGTCCAGCCGGCTGGGCTAGCAGCGGAGCACCCCGCGCAGCCGGCCCGGCGCCCGACCGGACCACCACCGGACCACCAGCTACGGCCGGCGCCCGACCGGACCACCAGCTACGGTCCGGCGCCCGACCGGACCACCACCGGACCACCAGCTACGGCCGGCGCCCGACCGGACCATCAGCTACGGCCGGCGCCCAGCCACGGCCCGGCGCCCGACCGGACCACCAGCTACGGCCGGCGCCCGACCGGACCACCACCGGACCACCAGCTACGGCCGGCGCCCGACCGGACCACCAGCTACGGCCCGGCGCCCGACCGGACCACCACCGGACCACCAGCTACGGCCGGCGCCCGACCGGACCATCAGCTACGGCCGGCGCCCAGCTACGGCCGGCGCCCGACCGGACCACCAGCTACGGCCGGCGCCCGACCGGACCACCAGCTACGGCCGGCGCCCGACCGGACCACCAGCTACGGCCGGCGCCCGACCGGACCACCAGCTACGCCCGGCGCCCGACCGGACCACCAGCTACGCCCGGCGCCCGACCGGACCACCAGCTACGGCCGGCGCCCGACCGGACCACCAGCTACGCCCGGCGCCCGACCGGACCACCAGCTACGGCCGGCGCCCGACCGGACCACCAGCTACGCCCGGCGCCCGACCGGACCACCAGCTACGGCCGTCGCCCGACCGGACCACCAGCTACGGCCGGCGCTACGGCCGGACCACCAGCTACGGCCGGCGCCCGACCGGACCACCAGCTACGGTCGGCGCCCGACCGGACTACCAGCTACGGCCGGCGCCCGACCGGACCACCAGCTACGGCCCGGCCCGACCGGACCACCAGCTACGGCCGGCCCCCGACCGGACCATCAGCTACGGCCGGCGCCCGACCGGACCACCACCGGACCACCAGCTATGGCCGGCGCCCAGCTACGGCCCGGCGCCCGACCGGACCACCACCGGACCACCAGCTACGGCCGGCGCCCGACCGACCACCAGCTACGGCCGGCCCCCGACCGACCACCAGCTACGGCCCGGCGCCCGACCGGACCACCAGCTACGGCCGGCGCCCGACCGGACCACCAGCTACGGCCGGCGCCCGACTGGACCACCAGCTACGCCCGGCGCCCAGCCACGGCCCGGCGCCCGACCGGACCACCAGCTACGGCCGGCGCCCGACCGGACAACCAGCTACGGCCGGCGCCCAGCCACGGCCCGGCGCCCGACCGGACCACCAGCTACGGCCGGCGCCCGACCGGACCACCAGCTACGGCCGGCGCCCGACCGGACCACCAGCTACGGCCGGCGCCCGACCGGACCACCAGCTACGGCCGGCGCCCGACCGGACCACCAGCTACGGCCCGGCCCGACCGGACCACCAGCTACGGCCGGCGCCCGACCGGACCACCAGCTACGCCCGGCGCCCGACCGACCACCAGCTACGGCCGGACCACCAGCTACGGCCCGGCGCCCGACCGGACCACCAGCTACGGCCGGCGCCCGACCGGACCACCAGCTACGGCCGGCGCCCGACCGGACCACCAGCTACGGCCGGCGCCCGACCGGACCACCACCGGACCACCAGCTACGGCCGGCGCCCGACCCGACCACCAGCTACGGCCCGGCGCCCGACCGGACCACCAGCTACGGCGCTCCACCAGGACCAGCGATCCTCCGTAGAGTGTCCGTCACAGGTTCCTAGAATTTCTGGAGGTGATGGGCTTAATTTCAAGGGCAAGCCAGACATTCCAGACAGGCAGGTATTCGGTAGGTGATGGGGGCACTGTCAATGAGAATCACTTACCTACCTATGTTGACTGTTACGTGATTGTTGTTTGTTGGCCGTTAGGGTAAAGAAAGAATAGGTAGGTAATGAAAGTAAGAACTGAGCATCATCATTAGGAAAATGAAGATTAAAAATGTCAATCCAGATTATCATGTTTACAAAGGAATACCCGCAGTACCTAGAGTTTTCTCTTTTTATATTCATTAGATCCGAATGATCAAATTATGAAGTCAATTGATTGCCTTAATCTTTACTGGAAGTGTGAGCAACATGCAAAGGTAAAAGTACCTTCGTTCTTAGCTAGTTAGCGGCACACGCCACGGTGCAATGTTTTGGCTGCTTCTGCAAATATTGATGAAAGCGCGTGAAGCACAGATCATCTAGAAAGCAGTGCTTTTACTTACTTTCCTGAAATGTTAGAATGCCAGTGAGCTTCGAAAGTGACTTTGGTCAAGTGTTATCGATGGTTTAGGTTCAATAATTAATTTAATAACTATTAGGCGTTAGCAAAGTGTTTTTTAAGGACCCCGAGTTCTCGCACATTTATGCAAAAGCTGTCTGAGATCAGTAGGTACATACATACCTTTGTCTTGACAGGCAAGAAAACAGCCCTTTCAGTATTTACCAATCATGTTCTTCCGTGGCGTGCTAGATACCGCTTGTCGCTAGATGGCCGAGCTAGGCGTTGCCCCCCCCCCCCAGCGGGGCGTGAAATATATGTGTCATGGAGTGGCGCGGGTCAGGAGCAGAGCGGTTCACCGCCGCGCCGCGCCGGGGCCGGGAGAGGAGCTCCGTGCAGACCAGCACCCTCACCGAGCGGTAGCGCCGCGGACGACGAGGCCGTACCGTGCTGCGGCGATCCTGTCGAGATCGGGCCGCGCCATGTTTAATGCATGAGCCCTTCCTCCGGATGCAGGCAGGAGCAGCGGCGTGGCCATGAGCCCTGTCCCATCGGCCGGCAGCGGGCCACGGGCGGCGGTAAGGCGCCGGTAGACATAGTGGACAGTGGACAGAGGACAAAGTGGACACTGGACAGTGGACAATGGTGGACAGTGGATATAGCGGACATAGCGGACTTGGCTGGCATAGTGGATAGTGGACAATGGACACACAACAGTGGACACTGGACACTGTGGACAAAGGAGCGTGGACAACAGACAGAGTGGACAGAGTGGACAGAGTAGATACAGGAAAGTAGACACTGCGCAGTGGACACTGCACGGCTGTCCTGTGTAAAGCCATACGGATCAACTGAAATGCAACATAACCTTTTTCGGTCAGGCCATGGCGCTGACCTGAGGTCAAATTTTCAAGTTGACTCTTCAAGGTCCAATTATAGTCCGTTCGACACGCCTCAACGAGAGGAACACGATGCAGTTAAAAGTTACCACATGCAAGCTTTGTGTCAAAAGTTATTTTTAAGAAATATTGTTGCCACTAAAACGTCTACATATATTGACAGTTTTCGCCCTCTGGATGCTAAGCTGTTGGCCTCGGGTCAAGTCTGAGGGCAGTGTGCAGGAAAAGCGTTAAGAGAGCTATTAACTGCGCTTTTCTGCGGCGCTGCAGCTCTATCCGTTCCTGAGCTATGCGCCCCCTTGCCGAAAATTGTCGAACTGGGCGAAATTTGACATTTGGTGACCTCTAATGATCTGACATTTGACTTGACCTAAAAAATGACCAACATACATGCTTTCAATGTCAGTACGTCAGTGGTAGTTTCTGCGTGCTTTTTGACGCTCTTTCGAATGCTGCTCAACGCGTTTCGCTACGTGGCCAATGAGCCGAGCTAGACGGGAGTGTTCAAATACCTCTCCCCGGCCGTGTATTCTGTGCGTTTCTCAAATGCTGCGTACGACAGAAGTGTACGGAAACATTGTAATTGTTCATGACGCGGTTCATGCGACCGGCAGACCGCTTTCTGCATGGTCCATCCGATCCGCATCTTAAAGGTTACCGACTTCTGCATTGCAAAGACAAGCTAGCTATAAAAATCGTGTTACTGTATCGTAAGCTATGTGTATTGTATTAATTCGTATATGATGTAAGATAAAAACACCAAAACCACCCAACGTTTCGTGTTATTCACTTTTTCAAGGGTGATATGACACATTTTACCTATCGAGTCAAGTACGTTTTTTCGGTTTCGTTCGAATATAGCGCGGGCACTTTTTCACAAATTTCCTCTGTCTTGCATGACATATTCACACATACATACACACATACTACAAATTAACGTCTTTCCTAGCCAACAGAGCAGACACTGAAGCTAGTCTGAAGAATCCACTCGAAGTGTTCAAAACATCACCTTTCGCAATAAACGCTGCTTCTATAATTCTCCGTTGGGTTTTAGAAAAGTTTTGATCTACATGTGTAGCCCGTGTCCAATCAGGTAAATGCCCTTCTTTCTCAGCGTGAATAACAAATGCATTAGAAAGTCTGTGATTACGTAAATCCCCCCTGTGTTCACGGACCCGTGTTTTGAGACCCCTACCAGTTTCCCCGTAGTACACCCGCGGGCACCCACCACATGGAATTTTGTAAACTACGCTGTCTCTGTTGCGAGACTGTTTCCTTTTTTTACGCATCATCCCACCTATCTTCTGCCCCCCTACAGAGACTATGCCCAGCGCAGGACCTATCAGTTTCTGAACCGTTTCATTCAAAGGAGAATGCGGAGCTATTACCATTGGTTTGGTTTCTGCCACAGGCTGATCAGCTACAGCTGAGGGCTGGTTATCTGAGGTGACAGATCGGGACCATATCTTCTTTGCCTTGTCTCTCAGAGATAAAAGCATGATTAAAGGGAATTTAAGTTTCATAAACGTTTGAACCACATAATCGATCTCGTCACGTAAAAAGTCTTCGGAACATATTCTGAAGGCGCGCAAAAAGAAACCAATAACGACCCCGGATTTAACTCTCTGACTATGCCCTGAAAAGTAATGTATAAGGTCATCCTTGTTTGTTGGCTTTCGGTAAACAGTGAACTTAAGTGAGTCCCCCGTTCTGATCAATAGCGTATCCAAGAAGGGAAGCCTGTCGTGTATTGTATTCCCAGTAAAACGTACCATGGCTTATTGGAACATGAACTCATAGATAAGCAAGCTTTTCTGAACTTCTTTTGATAAAAGAATTAAAACAAAATCGCAAACACTTTTGTCTTATAGTGCAGCTATCAAAACCCGCAACTATAAACCATTATTTTCAAACAACCGCAACTGTGAGAGATAACACATGTAAGTGTCAACCCAGTCCTGTTACATTAGAGGAGCGAGTCCAAAATCTCCCGTCCAGCTTTGCGGCGTCAGTGCGGAGCAGCAGTCCCAGTTTTTACACCGAGCCCAGATATACGTCAGTACATCACTGACCAGTGTGACACGTCAGTACATCACTGACCAGTGTGACATTGACACGTCAGTACATCACCAGAGTGACATTGAAATGCCAGTACCTGAGTCCTGACCAGCGTGAATTTTCGAATTATACGTCCAATATTAAAAAAAAAAACATGTGTCACATGATCTATACAAGCATTTTCTTACTACTTGTTAACTGGGCTGACCTAGCTTTAACCTGAAACATACCGAGTAAAAGATGTCTACAGTACTGTAGATACCCACAGAGTATCTACAGGATATTTTTATGGGTGTGTAAACCAAATATGGACGTGATGTGACTCCTACATGGCGGCAGCCGGAGTCCGAAGTGTGAAAATGGCTAGATACTGTTATTTTTCTCCTTGACCTGACCTGTATTCGACCAAGGGCTCTGTAGAGGCCCCATGTCACTCGCGTTATGGAATACACCCTAGTCATGCGTGGGTTTACCCACATTTCTTATAAAACAGCCTGCAGGTACAGATTGTCTGAAGAAGAAGGCGTCTCGAAGATTACTGTGGTCCTTCAGTCGAAATCAAATGGAGCCTGCAAGCAGCTAATTAGGGGGTGTGGGACGCGGAACGGTGCCGGCGCTGTGTTGGGACCTGCAGCGACTAATTCTAGCATGGCAGTGGGGTCCCCTGTCCCGTGCTGAGATGCGGCGGCAGCGTCAGCGAGCCGCCTGCAGTGGGCCGGCACACACGGTCAGCGAGCCGCCAGCAGTGGGCCGGCACACACGGCCCGATTTGGCGGACCTCACCAGTCACCGGAGACCCGCCGTACCTATGTACATAGTGCCTGCTGGGAGCGCGCACCCAACAGCACATTACATATATACCTGGCAGCCGGAGGGCACAACGCAACCATATGGTCTGCTTGGGCTCAGTTTGCTGAACGTTTTGAATATTTCGTCTTTTCATATGGTCTACATTGCTTCTATATATGCTGCACTGGAAAGTTTTTGCTCCTTCCTGGAGCGTTAGTCTGCTTGCAGAGAGCGAACGAGGCACAGAAACGTTTTTCTTTTGTAGCCACGCACTGGCGAGTAGACTTTTTATCTACCTTCGCGAAGAGAAAAAGCTATCTTCTGTTTATATTAAAAAAGCTGACTCCTTTCGCCAGTGTAAATGAAAAGGATTTGTTCGCTGGTGCGTGGTAAAAACGTCTGCGTGCCTGGTACTACTCTCTCCAAGCATTCGACAAGAACGCTCCCAGAAAGAGAGCCTACAAAAGTTCACGGTGTATGGACGGTAGCAATTCAATGTTAATCGAACTTAATTGTTTGAATAACTTCCGCGAATTGATCGAAGCGGATTGTTGAATAATAACTGAAGGGAATTGTTAGTAATGACGGCAATAAGTTACAAAAAGATACCGTCATTTGGCTACACGTATCTTACGCCTCCTAATTAGTTCGCACAAACAAGTCTGGCAAAAACGAGGGGTCTGTCCATTTTCATTCGGCCTATTGGTTTGGCGGTGATTACAACTCCGATGGGTGGCGCGATGTGGCA